AGAACGCTGAAAAAAGCAAGCAACTACAAACACATTTACGCTTTCACCGGGAAGCACCTGTCCGTGCGCATATGAAAGCTCCTGGATTTGAACGGGGCTAACCCCGGACCCGCGTGCACTGCGGCTCACAAGTACATGCAGAGGGGAGGCCGGGAAAGCGACAGGGGAGGGCCGTGACAGGGAGCATGCGCAGCGCTTAGCATCCACTTCCTGAGAAATGGTACCGGAAGGCAGCAAGCCGGACGGCCCGAGCGCCAAACGATGGTGCTCCTCCTGCTGACTGCACAAATTAACTCACAAAACGGAAGAACAATCAGAAAGCAGAGGATGAATCGTTTGCGGCACTGCTTCCAGACGTACGAATAAACAATCGAGAGCACCAGCGTCCAGAACACCAGCTGCGCCTGCATAATATCGTGGCAGAGAGTTGGCCGACGCGCCCTGCCATCATCGCAGCACTCCTGCAATACGGGCCGCTCTCGTTCCCAGTGCCACCTGATGATGAGCCTCGTTTTCGCGCCTGCGCCCTCCCGCTCTCAAACAGTAAAACGCACCTTCCGCTGCTGCACACCGCACACGCCAATTTCATTCAGCCGCTTCAAATTATTCTCGAATGCCTCCAACACCTGCCTCAATGCCATACGTGCGCGAGAACGTGTATCATATCACAGGCGCGCATCGAGAGCGCTCCCCGAGACCTGCAAGAACCGCGAGAGCGTGAAACTGGTCCGCGCCATCAGCGCTGCCAGGAACACCGAACGCAACAGATACTGTGCACGGACGAGCTACCACCGAGACGCCGGAGTATCACAGGCGCAACACAGCTCCCATGCGAGTAAGGTCTGCCGACACGTCCGCTGCAAACATCCCTGCCACGTGAAGGGGGAGCAGCGAACAGAACCCCCGTCAATTACAATAACTCGGCTCGACTGATGATCTATGGTGCTTTAGCCCTCTAGCGCTTCGCTCCATCATCTCTGCCTACACTATTTCGCGGCGCCGCTTGCTGGAACTTTGCCAAACGCGCTGGCAAGCGCTATCCAGTGTCTAGCGGCTGAATTACGTGGATTGGGGGTGATGGGTGGAAGGGCTGGACGTGGTTGGGGAGGAGGGGGGGGGGGGGGGGGGGGGGGGGGG